ACTCTGGCTTAAGCAACACCTTCTGCTGCCTCATCCCCTGCTGTCCCATCTGTGCCAAGCTCTGTCATAATACCCGCCTCCTCACGGGGTCTGGGTGCCCCTCGCATTGCAGGCATGCTAGACAGGGGCCACCAAAATCCGGCCCTCTTTCCCGAGGGAGGGCTGTGAAGGTGGGGAGGGGGTGGCCTCAAAACACTACCCAGGCTTGGCCAGAGGGAATGATAGGGGCAAGGCCCCTGTTCTTACTCCCTTCTCTCTCACCTCCCTCCTTCCTGTTTTCCATTAAAGTCTGTTGTTTTGTGAAAGCTGCCAGTGTGGTGGACCCGCTCCTGCAGGCCGCGTGGGTTGGGGAGGGAGGGGAGGCACGGGAATGGAACTGAGTGGGCAGGAGCTGGAGCTGTCCATGACAGGGGCCTCAGACACTCTGCTGGCTCTTCTTCCCTGGACCTGGGTCCTTCTCTCCCACTGGGGAGCAGATGAGTCCTGAGGATGCTTGCGACAGTGATAACAGCAAGGCAGAGCCCTGGGACACAGCAGCAAAGTGGCTTTGAGCCCCAAACCTCCCGAATACTCCAGGCTACCCCATCTCTTCCATCTGATCTGATCTGGAGCTCAGGAGTGTGGCTCAGGAGAGCCCTTGCCCAGGGCTTGGCCTGCTGCCAGAGACAGCTGGCAGCCCCTCCCCAACCCCAGGGCCCTCCGGTGTGGCTCTGCCCGCTCCCCTGCCCTAATACATCTCAGCCCCAACATGCTCCCTCTCGTCATACATAATTGTTCTGCAGTGGTTTGGGAATTTTTTTAAATAAAATAAATTTTTTTTATTATAAATGTAACACTTTCAAAACGTTTAGAAAATAAGAAAAGTCATTTGTAAGCCTACCTCCACTCACCCTCAACCCAACGACTACTAGTATTTTGGTGTATTTCCTTCTAGTATTTTCTCCAAGGATCTGTTTTACACATAGTTGAATTGGTATGCTTTTTACTTGGTTTCTTTCTTTTAACAAACACTATTGTGATTGTTTTCTGTGTCGCTACCTAGCCTTCATTATTAATGACTGCTCATATTCCCTTAAGTGGCTTTGCCATGATTTATATAACCATCCCTCATTTAGAAAAAAAAAAAAATTAGGCTTCTTCATTGTCTGTAAAGCTACGTTATTTTCATGTGATAGAAAAACAAAACTTTTACACTTTACTGTGCCACTGTTTTCATTTAAGTGATTTCACTTAATCCCTTATCATGATTTTGAGGTTGATGTTATTTCCATTATACAGAAGAGGAAACAGGCAGGCTGGGGGTAATTGGGTCACCCAAGGTCACACTGCAATTTTAGTGGCAGAATTGGGATTTAAACTAAGTGTCCTGACTCCAGCCGCCTCATTTACTTAGAGCTTAATGGCCTTTGCAGATGGCTTTGCTGTCTTCTCTGTCCTCCTTCCAATATAGGCACTTATAGGTGATCATGTTTCAAGTGGCACTGAGTGACCCATCCCTACCTACACTTCACCTTACATAGCCTTGTCCTGATGTCACCCCAGCACACCAAATTCAAGGTCCTTCTTCTGAGAAGATGGGGATGGCTTGGTCACTGGTCCTCTTTCTTCCCCACAGACCTCTTCCCCTGTGGGTCACAGCATCATCCAGGTCATATTGGGTCTGACTCCATGCAAACAGCAGGTAGACCAAATGTCCCAGGACTGGACTGGGAATGAAGCCAGTCCAGGTGGGGACTGGCTTTGAGACTTAAGGCACTCGGTGACCCTCTTCCTCGTGGATGCTCAGCTGGTCCTCCACCCCAGTCCAGGCCTGCCCTTTGGGTCTCTGCTTTTCCCGGAGCCCCACTGTCCACCTTCACCTCCAGGCCCTCTCACTGGCCAAGACAGCATAGAGGCACACCCTCAGTGCTAGAAGTGACTCCGGGTGTGTGTATTCAATGCTACCTCTTTTTTATAGAGTACATTTTTTATTTTTAGACTTTTAATTTTGAAATGATTGTGGATTTACAATTGAGTCACAAAGATAGTACAGACAGTTCCCAGTTGCCCTTCAACCAGCTTCCTCTCATGTTAACATGGTACGTAACCATGGCACAGTGATCAAAACTAAGAAATTGGTTTCCGTACAACACTATTAACTAAGCAACAGACTTTATGGGAATTCACCAATTTTCCACTAATGTCTATTCTGTTTCAAGATCCATTTATGCCTGCCTGCATCTTACAAATGACCCCGAGGGTCAATGAGGCTCCCAAGGTCACAGCAAGCTGGCAGCAAAGCCCAGGCTAAAGCCAGACTTCGTCCCTATACCTGGGACTACTGCCTTCCTTACCTTTCCTACTTTGACAAGGGACAGGGTTTATTGCCATGTGATCAGCTCTAGTGTCGCAGACGCCCTTGATCCACCCTGCCTGCCCATCCTATCCCTGTCTCTGAGGTTGCCTCCACCACCTTTCTGTACACATGCTCACATACATATGTGGGTCCATGTGCGCTGGAATGGCTGGCTCAGAGTCACTCTCATGGGCGCTGTGCTGTGTGGACACGCTTGTCCACTCCACTGCACGGCCACTGGCTCCTGCCAGTGGTCTTCCCTCTCTGGAAATGAAGGGCACAAGGCAAACTTGATGGAGACCTTCCTTTGTTTCCAGTTCTGAAGGTTTCTATCTCAGGCCCCACATGCCTCAGCTTTCCCTATTCTGTCTTAGTGGCTCTTCTGCCTAAGTCTGGGGTGTGCGCTCTTCCTTCCAAAGCCTTGAGAAAATCCGCTTTCTGTTGTCTTCCCCAGCTCTCAGGAAAGGCTGGTACAAGCCCTGGAGGGCCTTGCCTGTGCCTCCCTTCACAGTTTACAAGCTGCTTTCTTTCTTTTTTTTTTTTTCTTGCATTTATTTTCAGGTAGAGCGGGAGGGAGAAAAGGACGGTGAGAGAGAGAGAAACATAGATGTGAGAGAAACACATCGAGTGGTTGCCACCCACACGACCCCAAATGGGGCTGGGGACAAACTGCAACTGAGGTACGTGCCCTTAGTGGGGACCAAACCCGGGACTCTGGTCTATGGGCCGACGCTCTAACCGCTGATCCAAACCAGCCAGGGCACAAACTTTCATGTTGCCTCATGTGTTCGTCACCACAGGGGTGATTAGGACCACTTCAGAGGAGTAGAGTACTTTTCCCAGTGATAATGGGGGCAGTGGAGCCGTGGTTAGTTACAGTCTTTTCTGTTCTAGGCAGTCAGGCTCTATGGTGTTTATCTTAGGCGGCCTGTGAGGCTCTCACAGTCCTGCCTAGACATGACCTCATTCTCTCTCAAATCATCCCAGGAGGCAGAAAGGAGTCTGGGACCAACGCTGTCCCCACTTCACAGATGGGAAAACTGGAGGATACACACACACACACACAGAAACTATGTTGATAAATTGCTCTGCAGTTCTGGGGTCCTGACTCTCAAGCCCAAGTTCAGCTGTTTGGGAGGCAAGAGGTCTGGGACTAGGGGCAGCAGTGTTCACCAGTGCCTCAAAAGATTGTGGGCCCACCGGGAATCCCCCACAGCCTAATACAGGGCCCTGCCTCCAGGGATCTCACAGCTCCGTGTGTGAGAAGAGCCTAAGAAGGCAGATCTGGCGTGACTGGGATTCCTGAGAGTAAAGTCTAGTTCCGTGGTGGCCCTGGAGGCACATTTCATGGAAGTGGGCCTTTGTGTTGTAGCAGTAAGTGCTGTGGCCAGGAGGGCCCAGCTGGGGCTTGGGAGGAGTTGGTGTGCTGCCTAGTGACAGTGACTTATGTTGAACAGCCATGGAGTTCCTCCCATGACATCTCACCTTCCCAAGAACCCTGGGAAGGAAGAGCTGTTGTGAGCCAACTCTACAGATGAGGAAACTGAGGCTCACAACTTATCCAGGGACACAGAGCCAGCCAGTGAGCAAAGGCCTGGCACCTGGCTCCAAGTCCAATGCTTTGTCTGCTCCACCAAACGACTGTTCCCCGCCTCCCCCCAAAAGGGAGGTGCACAAAGCCAGTAGGAGGGAAAGGAGAGACCTAACTGAGGATTCCAGATTTGGCTGGCTTCACAGTTTCACTCCAGCTGGCCCTGCCTTCCTGTCCTGAGAGGTGGTTAAGGGAAGTTCTGAGGAGGAAAGGTCAGGCTGGGAGAGAAGGAGGAGTTTGCCAAAACCCACACCCTGCTCTCAATGCAGCAGGCTGAGCCAGTTGGGTGTGGGGGCAACAGAGATGAAGGAGCAGGACCTGGCCCCTGCTCTAGCAGGGCTCTCAGGCTGCAGGGTAGAGAGGGCACTGAAACAGCATGGGCCCCCTCCCTGCCCCCAACCCCCTTTTCCTATTGCCAGACACACCTTGACCATCCCAGTCCTGCTCCCTCTCTCCTCTGAGCGCTGTCACACCTCCAGCCCAAACCAATCATTTAGTACTTGGCTTATAATAACCCCGAGCTGACTTTTTACTGTAAGTCCAAGTCTACCTTTCCAATTAGATAAGAACGTCCTCCAAGGCAAAAGCATATATCCTCTGTTACTGTGACACTCAGTACGTTTTTTGGTGAAAAAAGGTTATTTGGAAAGTGATCGTGTTGAGCAATGTAGTGGTGTCTATGACACAGCTGGACAATGCGTTACAGCCGCGGCCCCAGGCCTCAGTGACGTTATTCAGCTTGTTGTGACGTCACCGTCGCCGGCCACGGTAGCGCTCCGCAGCCTGCAGGCAGGATGAGGTAACCGTCAAAACCGGTGCGGACCTGTGCGCGCGGGAGAAATTAGCGAGGCTGGCTGCTAGCGGCACCAGGAGAGGGTGAGGAGAAAAGGACAGAGAAGCCGAAGCCCGGAGGTGGCCGCACTGCTTGCGGGGTGCCTGGCCCCTTACAGACTGGCCCCGCCTCCGCGGGGACCTGCGCCGGCCAGCCACTCAGGGCAGGCCGCGGGTTCGCGCAGCCTATCAGCGACCGGGGATCGGCCGGCGCTTCCGCGTTCGCGAGCACGCCCGGCGCGAGTCCGCGGGGTGGGGGACGAAGGCCCCGGCAACGCACCGGGGCGACCTCTACGTCGCTCCCCACCTGGCTCATCGGGTCTGCAGGCCAAGGCCGCCGCCTCCCAGGGCACCAGATGGCCTCGGAAAGCCTGGAGAGGGAGCTGGCGGCGGTGCTGGGGGGTCAGGGGCTGTGCGTGCAGAGCTGTGACTCGGAGCCGGCTGGGGAGCTGCCGGCACCGGTGAGGCTGCGGAGGAACGTCTGCTACGTGGTGCTGGCCGTGTTCCTCAACGAGCAGGTGAGCGCCCGCCGCCTGGGCCCGGGGCGCGCAGCCAGCCCGGTGTGGATGGAGAACCTACCACCAGCGGCCACCGCTTCTTTGTGGGTGGCTTCCCAGTTTTGCAAAGCACTGTCACACAGACATCTGAGCCTTGTGCACCCAACCCTGCAATTGTCAGATGCACAGAGGAGAAAACCGAGCCCAGGAGCCTGTTTGTGTCATCCCAGTAGGCCTCAGTTCCTTGTGGGGAGGGCTGTCTTATTTCATTCTTACTTTCCCCTGAATCTAAGTAGCACAGTGCCCCCCGTGGCGGAGTGGGCTCTCTCAAAGATCTGTCCGGTGCTGCAGAGACCTCCCCAGGGTCCCACGGCCCGTAATGGCACAACCAGGGCTTACACTCGGACGGACGTTCTCGCCCTTGTGTGTTGCTCCTTTTTGCGTGCATCTCAGTACAAGTTGCTGTGACAACAGCTAGAGGGGGCTAAGGCCATAGGTAGGAGTTGTATGGGCTGGGGGTGGGGGCATGTTTTAAAGCCTAGACTCCAGAGTGAGGACAGTCCGCGGCAGTTTGTGAACCAAGAGGGGAGGTGAGAGATACAGTGACAAATGCAGACAGTACAGGACACATGGCAGCCTTCACTATGGGGCCTGTTCCCCAGACCCTGAAGCAGCTCCCAGGAATCTGAACCCCTTTCTGCAATGGAAGTCTGAATGCAAAGGGGTAAACTGCAGAGAGGAACAGCTGCAGCTGGCAGCCAAACAAGGGCCATTCCCCAGCAGAGCTCAATAGTTTGAGGGTGTCCACTAGTAAGGGAGTACTGGGCAGCTGTGTGTAAGATAGGAGCCGGCCCCAGGGCAAGGGAAGGCTGCTGGCTGTGCCTTTCCTTTGTAGCTCCCAGCCTGGCTGTGTGAGGGTGAGGATTTTCTCTCCCCTCAGGACGAGGTGCTACTGATCCAGGAGGCCAAGAAAGAGTGCCATGGGTCGTGGTACTTGCCCGCGGGGAGAATGGAGCCTGGGGAGACCATCGTGGAGGCGTTGCAGCGGGAGGTGAAGGAAGAGGCTGGGCTGCACTGTGAGCCTCTGACACTGCTGTCTGTGGAGGAGCGGGGCCCCTCCTGGATCCGCTTCGTGTTCCTTGCTCACCCCACAGGTACAGCACATCTGGTGGCAATGTGGGCAGGGAGCAGTTGACACCTTTCCCCCAGCTCGTCGTTTGGTGAGGTGAGCCCCTATTCTGGGTGGTACAAGCCTGGCATCTCCATATTCCAGCCTGGGTGTCAGGGTTAGAATGCCTTGGAGGTTGTTGACTCTGCCAGGCCTAACACTTCTCTCAGCACAGACCCTTTCCCTCACCCCATCCCCCTCGTCTCCCCCAGGTGGAGTTCTCAAGACTTCCAAGGAGGCAGATGCAGAGTCCCTGCAGGCTGGCTGGTACCCGCGAACCTCCTTGCCCACTCCTCTGCGAGCCCATGATATCCTGCACCTGGTTGAGCTGGCTGCCCGGTACCGCCAGCAGGCCAGGCACCCTCTCATTCTGCCTCAAGAGCTTCCCTGCAGTCTTGTCTGTCAGCGGCTGGTGGCCACTTTTACCAGTGTCCAGACGGTGTGGGTGTTGGTGAGCACAATGGGGGTGCCTCACTTGCCCATCACTGCTTGTGGTTTCACCCCCATGGAGCAGAGGGGTGGCATCAAGATGGCCATCTTGCGACTGCTACAGGAGTGTCTGACTCTGCACCACTTGGCAGTGGAGACGAAGGGGTTGCTTGGACTACAGCACCTGGGTAAAGACCATACAGATGGCATCTGCCTCAATGTGCTGGTAACAGTGACTTTTCGGAATGCAGGTATCCAAAATGAGCCCCCAAAGGTTTGGAGTGAGAACTTCTTTTGGTGGAAGGTGGAAGAAGACCTGCAAAGCCAGCTCTTACAGAGGCTTCAGGAATCATCTGTTGTCCCAGTGAATAGATAGAAAGGTGCCACGAGTGGACAAGGAGCTGCCATCTGTGCTGCTTCCACCATGGTTTCACCTCCCTCTTAGGGAGGCAGGAGTTTGGCATCAGGGATCCTGTTGTATTGGAAGCAGAACAGTTTTCCTGCTTCTCAGAGGGACTTTTATCTCTCACCGCAGAGCAGGACACTACATTGCACCAGAAGGGACAGCGCCTTTAACCAAGCAAGGAGGCCAGAGCTCAAGGACCCAGCTGCCTGGAGGCAAAATGAGGGCACTGCTCACTAAGGGGGATGTGAAAACTTTCTGACCCAGAGACAGCATCTTTTTATTTTCTGCACCAGATTCTCAGGCACTAAGAATATGGAGGGGGGCGGGTGTCACTACAGAAGAATGGACCCCTTGCTGAATAAATAGGTATTGCTTACTTTGCCTTCTCACCTACATGTGTCTGTGGGGAGGAAGTGAGCAGGAAGCTGGACTGTCCTCAGAAGAGAAGCTCCTCCCCTTGTCCCACCAGCAGCCAACCCAGGTCCTCCCAGACAGCAAACTGACACTGCCGGGGCCAGCCTGCTGGGTGCTGGGAGCCAGAGGGGATGGGGGGACAGCAGGCAGGCTTCCTGCTGTCTACTTCATCTTGCCTGCCAGGGTAGGATGTGACCACATACGTCCCTACAAGTTTTGAGCAGTGAGAATGCCTGGCAAACTTCTGGTAGGTGAGGAGTCAAGAGCTGCCCCTGCCCGGGTTTCCTTCTCCTTCAGCTGATCCTTCCCCAGTCACTTTGCTGGTCCCCTGGCTCTGGCCCCTGCCTTTTTATAACTCCAGCCCGGACCAAACCAAAATCCTTTCTTCATTTCCCCTTAGCCCAGCTGAACCATGGTAGGAATTGTTTAAAGAAAGAACTTTACTAAAACTTAAAGGAAAACCAAAAGAAATGGACAAAGGAAGATGTATTGTGTGCTCCTCACTGCATCTCAAGTCCAGATCCCTGATTCTGAGCTGGGAATTCCGAAGTAACTGCACTTCTTTTTTTCCTCACCAGAGGACATTTTTTCATTTTTTGCTCAGATAGGGTGGAAGGGAGAGAGAGAGAAACATCGATGTGAAAGGGACACATCAAGTGGCTGCCACCCACACGACCCAACCAGGGCCGGGGACAAACTGCAACCGAGGTACATGACCTTAGCGGGAACCAAACCCGGGCTCTCTGGACCACAGGCTGACGCTCTAACCACTGAGCCAAACCGGCCAGGGCGTAACTGCATTCATTACTACCCTGAAGTGAAGGCCCAGGGGAACCCCAAAGGCCCTCCCCAGCTGCCGCCCTGCCTCCCTTGGCCATCTTGTCTTTCTTTCTGGCCTCTGGGCTATGGTAGGAATCCTGCCCCATCTGAGCACCAGTATCTCCCAAATGATAGAACCAAACTGTTTCACTGTTTTCTCTGTCTGAAGGACCCACCAGTCCATATCCACATCAAAGGGCAATGATCTTTGCCCCCATTATTTAGTCTATGGTAGTTTTCAACTGTGGGTGCCTATTAGAATCACCTGGAGAGCCTTAAAAACAATTCTGGGCCACCCCCAGAGATACTGATTGATCTCACAGAGGGTGGGGTTGGGGCACTGGTATTTTAAAAAGCCACCCAGGTGATTCTAACATACACAGGTGAGAACCATTGACCAGCCCTCAGCTAGCCCTGCCCTGGCGCACTCTTGGGATTCCCTCACAGGATCCACACACGGACATTGAGGGACAAGATTTCTTTTTTTTTTTGTCCTCACCTGAGTACATTTTTGCATTTATCTTCAGATAGGGAGGGAGGGAGAGAGAGAAACATCAATGTGAAAGCGACACATCGAATGGTTGCCTCCCACACGACCCCAACTAGGGCCAGGGACAAACCGCAACCGAAGTACCCTTAGTGGGAACCGAACCCAGGACTCTCTGGTCCGCAGGCCGATGCTCTAACCGTTGAGCCAAACCGGCCAGGACTAGGGACAAGATTTCTAAATAAGCAGGCTCACTGTTCACCACTAAGGCGGCAGTCCTACAACTCACAGCCTAAGCACCTCCAGTGAGCCCTGCACACAGATGCTGCGGATGGCCTGCCCCATCACGGTGTCCCGAGGCTCGCTAGCCTTCGGCTGTGGGCAAGCTGAGCAGAAACAGTGTTGCCTGGCCAAAAGCGGCTGCTCCTGGCAGGCATTGAGGAACATCAGATTTGCACTGCCAGAGCCTGTTTACCACCACCCCCCTCTCCGCTCTGGTGCTGAAAAAGGAACTTAATGTGTCTTACTTGGGGAGGAAGATGGGCCCAAATTAGCAGTGGAGCCCTGGGCAGAAGGACGCAAAGGGTGGAGAACAGGGCAGCTGTGTCCACGCAACCACACCATTTATTGCCGTGGTGTCCGGGGGTGGGGGTGAGGGTGGGGGCACCATGAGAACGGCCAAAGCGCATCAAGGAGGGGAGTGTTTATGACTCCTGGATGCTTGAACATTTTCAAAATCAAAGAGTACAGACCCAGTTTGCCCACCGAGCTTGCTCCCATCCCACACCAACACCCATGTGCACACACTCGCAGGCACATGCCCGGTGTCCTTCAGCACAGCAGGTCAGTCCTCCCCAGCTTGGAGAAATGTGGGAGAGGCAGAGGTCACTGAGTTTCCTCCTCTTTCATGTCACCTCTTGGCAACCTGCAGCTGGCTTCTAGAAGCAGCATGGGCAGGAAAAGGAAGCAAAAGGGGCTCTGGCCTGCTCCTCCTTGCCCAGGAGCCAAGCCAGCAACTGCAGTCCTGCTGTGAGGTAATGCCTGGCGCCGCCTGTGTGTTCCTGCAGGTCCAGACAGATTTGGGTCGGGTGGGGTGGCAGCCCCAGCCTCAGAGGGCATGCAGGGAGAAGAGCACCAGGGCTAGTACCTATACCCCAGCCCCACCCTGCCAGGCCTGGGGGGCCTGCAGTCAGGTGGGCATCCTGGCCTCATCTGTACCGAGCTCCTTGTTCCCTAAAAGAGCATTCCATTGAGAACACTGGGCTGGGCCTGGCCTCCTCCGGTCTCGAGCCCCTCTGCCCAGGTGTTGTGGACCTGCTGAGACTGATTCAGAAGGCGCCAGAGAGAAACCAGCTGGAGCTGGAGCTGGAGCCTGGCACCCAGCCCCCGGCTCCTCAGGCCCTCTCCCGCCCTGGTGGAGCTGCATCAAGGTTCTCATTAGCAGCCGCCCCCGCCTGGGTGCGGAGCATGCTTTGGCCATTTGCCATGAGGCGGTTGGGGATTTTGCAACAGTCTCCAGGAGGGCCAGGCAAGAAGGGCGGCCTACCCCTGCCATCCACTGCCCCTTTCACAAGGGTCAAGTCAAGAAGGCAGGAGAAAAGTAATGTCAAGTCTTAGAATCTATGGAACCTAGTGGGACAGAGACAGGGCTCCCAACCCCTCATCTTTCTGACCTCCAGTCCTGACCAGCCCTTGCAACTGCCAGCTCACTCTGTGCCCACCTGGAATGGGTCACAGGTCTTGGCCCCGGTCACAAATGACCTGTGGAGGCAGGTGACAGGCACAGAACACAGGAGGGTCTGGGTTCTGATGCTCACCTAGCCATCACCAACTCCCCTGAGAAGGCCTCAAGGACACCATGCTGCCCAGGAGGCCACCTCTTTTGCTCCTTGGCCTCTGGTACCTTGGAGACCCACTTCCTGAAGCCCGGCCCAGTGTCGCCAACAAGCCAGCCTCTTTGAGGTAACCTGGGAGTTGAAGCTCAGGCCTCCAGAGGCAGAGGTCCCTGCATACAGAGGAGCCGGCGCCAAGCTCCTGCCTGGGAGAAGAGTAGTGGCGGCTGTGCCAGGCGGGAGGGGAGGCAGCTTCTGGGCAGAGGTGAGGACAGGATCCTCCCCTCCCGTCATGCTCCTGGCTCAGACATGCCCTTCTGGGGGTGGGGAGAGGTGCAGGTGAGGACCCTGTGGGGGGAACTTGACAAAAGCAATGGCAGCCAGTTCCTTGCAGAATTCCTCCAGAACTACCACGCCCTGGAGGAGGGTCTGGTGGTCCAGCCTGAGGGGAAGAGCAGAGAGTCATGGCGGGAGGGTAGTGGGTGTGCCCCAGTGTGACATCCCAGTGACCCAAAGCATAATCCCGTCGCAGACCCCTCTGAATAAGGACAGAGCTCAGCAATGGGCCCTACACGCCAAGGCCTGGCACCTCCCCACCCTGAAGCACTCCGCCCTCCCACCCAGGGCTTTTCCCCAGGTACCCGCTTCTCTCAGTTACTTACTGCTCCCCAGGAATATGACCCATCAGCTGCTTGCGCACTAGGAGCAGTTTGCCGGGGAACTGGGGTACCCTCTGAATTCTCTGCATCAAGTCCCCAATTACCTAGAATAGGAACGAGTGAGGACTGAAGTGGGGACCAGTGACACTCAAGTGAGGTCCCATGGCTGTGCTGCACCATGGTGGGTGGTACCTGTGCTTTGTCCTGGCACTGGCTAGGGTCCCCACACCTGCAGCCCCAGCCCCGTTCCCCTCCCTTCCTGCCCACTGCGGACACACTCCCAGGTATCCTTACCCGGACAAGCACAGAGAACAGGCTCCTGCAGCCAGGGGCCAGGTTGATGTAGGGGTCCAGGAAGTACTCATGGATAAGGGGATGGGGAAAGAGGGCGAGCCGGGACAGGACAGAGGTCACTTGCAAATTCAGGTTGTATGGCTGCAGGAACACAGTGGACAAACCAAGGTTTGTCGGGGTGGTGAGCATTTCTGCACTCCCCCAGAAAGGCGCCTGGCCAGTGTGAACGTGTGCGGGGGTGGGAGACTCACATGATGTGTGTGTCATGAATCCCTGGGGCTGAGGGCCAGAACATGTTAGGGCGTGTGGAGCAGAGGCGAGACAGGGCTTCCCGCCTGGGGAAAGGTGGGGGAGTGGGGAGTGTGGGGCTGAAGAACCGAAGATGACTTGACCCCCGTGGTCAGGCCCTGCTTTCCCGAAGGACTTCAGAGCCACCCACCTGCGGGCCCCTGCCCTCTGGCTGGGGCCCAGTCCTGTTGGCTACCTGTTCCAAAATCCGGGACATGCGGTCAAACAGCATTCGGAGGAAGTGCCCCTCGAAGAAAGGCTGCTCGGGCTCATGGGGGTCCAGAGGTGTGAGAGCCAGGGGCCAGCCCCAGGGGGCGACCCGGGAGCTGCATTCCTGGAACTGGAACAGGAAGGAGAGCTGAGAGGAGGAAGCCCATGTCAAGAGGCCCCAGCACACAGAGGAGGCCACACAGGAAGGTGGGCTCAGAGCTCACAGAGGGAGAAGATGGAGTTATTAACCCCACAGCTTGGAGGGGTGAGAAGTGGGCGCCGGCAGAGGCCTCCATACTCACCAGTCCATAAGCATCGTGGACATAGGTGTCATATCCAGTCTCTTCCAGGAAGGCTGAGGTCTTGGCTTCCTCAGGAACCAGGCACAGGAAGCTGAGAGACAGGAGCCCAACTGGTGCCTAGCTCACCCGGCTCCATCTCCTCCTTCCCCTCCCGGGCTGCTCCCACATCTGGGGCATGGCCACAGACAGAACAAACTCAAGTGGCTCCGACTTCCTGACCTGCCCCTACCTGTTGACAATTTCAGTCACTGCTGTTTTGCCATCCGAGTTGGTGGCAGGGGCTCGAGGGGGCTTGGCAGAGGTCTGAAAGCCGGCATCAAGGAGGCCGTCTGTGAAGTAGGGGTCCTCCTCTAGGTCTCTGTGGCCAGAGTACACACGTGTGGCACCAGTGAACCAACAAAAGAGTGTGGGGATGCTGAGGCGGGGCCTGGGCCTCCCAGAGGCACCGAGTTTCACTTACAGGGTGTCCTCATAGCTCTCGGGCTCCTGGGAGCCCCGGGCCACGTAGGGGCGGCCCTCGAGGTGGCACAGGATCAGTCTTCGGACAACCTGCTCATGGGGCTTCTGGAGGAGCTCCTCAAACAGCCGCAGAGTAGCAATGCTGATCTGGGGCAAGAAGGGGTCAGCAGGACACCCCTTCCTGCCAGGCTTCTGGGTGTGCCTGGGAGTTGGCTCACCCAGAAAAGAAAAGTGCCCCTAGAATGGGGTACCCTCTCCCTGGCAGGTTTTGGGGGGAGTGGATGGGTGGTGGCCTGGGAACTGGAAGTCTGGCTGGTCTTGGTTCTGTTATTAATTTGATGTACAATAACACACAAGAAAATTGGCTTTTTTGTGCCTCAGTTTCTATGTCCAAAAAATGGAATGCTGGCCTCGCAGACCTCAGTGGATGGCTGGAAGCCTCAAACAGGTCCAGCGAATATAAAAGCAGTGTGCAAAATAGAAAGTGCCATCACAAGTGTGTGATCACAGAAAACCACACTGTGACGAAGGCCGTCAGCTGCCAGTCACCGCAGCACTGTTTGTCTTCACAGGGAGGGCCCAGCGTCTCAAAGGCAGAGCCTGGACGTTAATGAAAATGGGAACCTCAGGAAACCCCAGGGGTAGGGAGGGAGTGAGTGGGGATGAGGGCTGTCCCACCTCACCTCATCAGAGAGGTGGTCACAGTGCTTGATGAGGTGAGCACACAGGGTGCAGGGGCTGTCCTCGGGGGCTGCAGGCCTCTGCTCTGTGCCCAGGAGGAAGGCCATGGCCTCTTGAAGCAGCGCAGAGGAGCGGAGCTGACGCAGCAGGGCCGTCAGCAGGGCGGTGGAGGTCAGGACACTCTGCTCGGACCTATGTGGACAGAACATTGAGCCAGACAGGGGAGGGGAAGTCAGAGGGACAGGGAGTGGGAGGGCGGCAGAACCCTTTTCTGGTTTCCTTGTATCTCCAGCTAGTGTCTCTCTGCTCACTCCCATCCCTTCTGAGGTCATGGAGTCCCAGGGCGTAGGCCTTTGCTAGCCCACTGTGGCTCTGAGCCACATGTGTCCGGGACAAGCCTGGCCAAAATGAACCAATGGAGCCCACAGACTCATGTGACTCTGGCTAAGGAGGTCCCTGGCTATAAGGACAGAGAGGGGCAAGTGTGGTGGGTGGTTCAATCCACACCATGGCCACATCTGAGGGGGCTGGACATAGACTTACACGTGTAGGAGCTGTGGCTGAAGAATCTCCACAAACAACCTCTCAGCCACAGCCTTTGCCAAGGCATCTGCAACCACCTGGGCACCAGAAAGCATGTCTTAAACACGTTCACCTCCGTTGACAGTTTTCTACCAAAAATAACTGTCCTAGCACAGCATGCAACACAACACAGAGGGTCACTGCCAACCTGGGCCCTGCCCAGCTCAGCAGATCCACTCAGTCCTCCAGGTGGAGACAGAGAAGACAGTGGTGTGAAGCAGGGAACATCCTGCCCCTCTCACCGTGTGTGCCTCGGCGACAAGGTGGTCGCAGTAATCAAACCAGCCCAGAAAGGCAGCCAAGGCCTCCTTGCCCAGGAAGGAAGCCTCATCAGATGGGGCACTGGGTAACCTGCGGGAGAGTGAGGGAGGAGCTGTGAGGCCTGCCTCCGCTCTGTTCCAGAGGGAAGCTGGGCCCTTTCTCCCCTTGCCCTGGAACTTCTGTTGCTAGGGCGGAGAGGTGGGTAGGGGCATAGGGTGGGCTGGTCAGTTCTACAGGGGGCTCTGAGGACAGAAGCATAAGTGGTGCTTCCTTGGAGGGTGAGAAGGCCCTCAGGATGGCTGTAACCTTGGGAAGACGGTAGCCAGCAGGGGTCCCCATCCCTCCTGGAGAACAGGAGGACCGGGCTAGCAGAGGATAGGCAGGGCTTCCAGCACTGAAGATGCAGCCCCCTACCTGGCCAAGCGCCTACCTCCAGCTGATGCCCTCTAAAGCAGCAATGTCTGCAGGGTCCAGGAAGGTGGGCATGGACTGGTACAGCTGGCAAAGGTGCTTGACAATTGCAGGGCAAAAGGGGCTGCTCTGCACCAGGTAGGTGGCGGCTGCCTGGGGGGCCACGCTAACAAGGAGCAGCAGGTTCTCCTGGGCCTTCAGGGCCACACGACCTTTCTAGGAGATAGGGATACAACTTCAGGACATGCACCTGAGCCCCCAAGTGTCCTCCCAGCAATTCACCCTTCCCGGCACATGCCCTCTCTGCATCTAGCACCTTGCTCTTGCACAAGCCAATCAGGGAGGTGATCAGGTTGCTCTCCCCAGTCCCTCCATCGGGCTCCGGGGTTTCAGTAGGCAGCTGGAGGGTCAAGGCCTGGGCCCCACAGGGACCCCTGTCAGGAGCCTTGCTGTGGGGGTGCTCCTTGTCCTCGACATTGGACATCTCTCTAGGCAGGGCGGTGGGTTCTTTGGATGCTTTCTTCCTAGTGACAGTCTTTTTACCCTGCAAAGGAGGCTAGGTGAGGCCAGGTCGCAGTAGAGACCACTCCCCAGGCTGCCCACTTGGGGACACAGGGTGTGCTGACTGTTAGGGCCCCAGCATGGAGCTGGAGGGGAAGCTGCCTGGAGTGCCACCATGGGACTGGGGTCTGGGACCTTCCCCTTCTGTTCACCAGAGACGCTCACTTCCAGGATGTAGGTGAGTAGGGCTGGGTCCTGCTGGATCTTAGAGCACAGGACAGTGGTGAACTGCACCTCTTCCTTTTCTGTAAGGGATCCAGGAACCCCACCAAGCCGAAGAAGTTTCTAGAAAGGGAGGACAGAAACAGAGGGTAACGGGTGGCAGGGAAGAAAGGGGGCTGTACCCCCAGACACCCTTGGCTACTTGGCCCCTCACCTGTACAGGCCTGTGGACATTGAGGTAATGCAGGAGAGGGTGCTGAACCTGGGCCAGCACCTTGCTGAAGAACTGGAACACCTGCTGCCGCATGCCTGGGGGGCACTGATGGCCAGGGAGCAGAGTCCTGTCAGGAGAGGGAGCATGCCCCCACCCGCGCACAGCCCCCTGTGCAACTCCTCTCCCTCACTGCCCGGGGGTGCCTTCTCTGCAAGCCTCCTCCCCTCACTGTTGAAACTGGCCTCCTCTGCACTGCCAGCCCCCTTCCCACTCCACTTGTCTCCATAACCTTGTCATCACTGAGCACACGTGTGGGCTCCTTTGTCTTAATCACTATGTCCCCAGCACCTAGGACATAGCCTAACACACACAGCCGGCCTTCAGCACATCTTTGCTGAATGAATAACTGACTGAATAACAGGGAGCCTTTCCTCCACCTCAACCACAGCAAAACAGATGAGCAGGGGGAGGTGGCGGCTATGCTACACGAGCGGGCCTCAGTGCCCCACCAGTTCGGGAATGGGGAGCACAGGGGAAGAGCCTGGGCCCACACACCTCGGCCTTGCCCAGCGTGCACAGGGTCTCCAGGATCTTGTGCTGCAGCAGGTACTCGAGGCAGGGCCCAGCCTCGCCCGCTGCCTGCTGCCTCTCCTCATACACCAGGATGTCCAGCATCTGCTTCAGCCGCCAGGGAATATCCGTCTCCTTGACCGGGGTGTTTTCATCTGCTCGAGATTCAGGAAAAAGGGTGAGTGGGGAGAAGATGAGCGCCCTGGCTCCATGGGGTCAAGCCCAAGGGGCTAGGGGGAGGGGGTGGCTGAGGGCAACCTGGAGAGGCCAGGTTAACAGCTGCTTCAAATAAAGGCCAGAGGAAATGGACGTTTCCAGTTCATGCCCCATATTTAAAATCACAAAGGACCTTCCAGACTGAGGCCCAGGATTCAACTCTAAAAATGTGCACGTGCCCCTGCCTTTCATCAGCGAGAAGAGCATCAGTTCTGTCTCCAAACCCCAGGGCTCACAGAGGCTCTCTGCTAGGGCTGTAGGCCAGCTCTGTGCCTGAGCTAGAAGCTGTGGGCTCAGGGGTCTCTGGCATATATTTTAGGAACTGTCTTCTAGCAGTGTCCCAACAGATCATCTCTTGAGGCCTGTTTATGTCTCCTTTACACTCACAGAAGGCAATACTCTATTACTTATTGTTAATTAGTAAATTTATTTATTTTTTTCTTCATTGGTTTTAGAGAGAGAGGAAGGGAGGAGGAGAGAGAGAGAGAAACACTGATGAGAGAACATCGATTGGCTGCCTCCTACATGCCCCCAACTGGGGATTTGGCCCACAACCTGGGCATGTATCCTGACCAGGAATCGAACCAGCTACTTCTTAGTGCATGGCTCCATGCTCAACCACTGAGCCACACCAGCTGGGCAATACTCTATTTTTTTTTTTATTTTTTATCCTCACCCGAGGATATTTTTCCATTTTTTGTACAGATAGAGTGGGAGGGAGAGAGAGAGAGAAACATTGACGCGAAGGGACACATCGAGTGGCTGCCACCCGCACAACCAACCAGGGCCGGGGACAAACTGCAACCAAAGTACGTGCCCTTAGCGGGAACCGAACCCGGGTCTCTCCGGACCACAGGCCGACACTCTAACCGCTGAGCCAAACTGGCCAGGGCTATTTTTTAAAAAGCAGAAAAAAAAGAAACCCATGCAGGACCATGGGTTCAGACTCAAACCTGCTATACCATGCACAGGACCTGATGGAGAAGCTTGATAGTGTGGCTTTCTTAGTCAGAGCTGCAGAGGGTACAGTGTTTTTTAAAAGAGAGTTTGGGTACTTTGGGACTGGCTTGGAGCATCTTCTAGCTTTTCTTGAAAGCACAGGCTCTTGAGCAAGGCAGCCGCCTCACCCACTCCCACACCTCTAGTATTGGGACTGTTACGGAAATTAGTGGACTGGGACCAGGCGAAGCCCCACAAAGACCCAAGTCGGTTCTGGATCCCTTACTACTCTCCTGGCAAGTTGGGGCTCTCTGTCAAGAGATCTTCAGTCTAAAAGGTATGAACTTGCAGTTATAAAATCAGTCCTGGGGTATGTAATGTACAGCATGGTGACTATTGTTAACAATACTGTTATAAATATTGTATAATTGAAAGTTGCTAAGAGAGCCCAGCCGGTGTGGCTCAGTGGTTGAGCATCGACCCATGCACCAAAGAGGTCGCTGGCTCGATTCCCAGTCAGGGCACATGCCCAGGTTGTGGGCCAAATCCCCAGTGTGGGGCATGCAGGAGGCAGCCAATTGATGTTCTCTCTCTCTCTCTAAAAATCAATAAAAAAACAAAAACACTTAAAATAAAAGAAAAAGTTGCTAAGAGGGATTGTAAAAGTCCTTATCACAAGAAAAAAATTGTAACTGTGGCCCTGGCCAGTTTGGCTCAGTGGTTAGAGCATCAGCCCACGGACCAATGAGTCTCAGGTTTGATTCCGGCCTAGGGCATATACCTTGGTTGCAGTTCGTCCCTGGCCCTGGTCAGAGTTGTGTGGGATGCAACCTGTCGATGTGTCCCTCTTATATCAAGGTTTCTCTCTCTTCCTCACACTCTATCTGAAGATAAATAGAAAATATCCTTTGGTGAAGATTTAAAAAAAAATTGTAACTGTGTGGATGTTAACTAGACTTATTATGATCATTTCCCAATCTATCCCTCTATTGAATCAATCTGTTGTATAACTGAAGCTAATATAATGTTATATGTCAATTATATTTCAATCGAAAGAAAAAGAGAAATTATCAGTCTAAAGTTGTTATTCTCAAATGGGGGCAATTTTGCTGCCCCTGCCCCCAGGGGATATTTGGTAATCTCTGGAGAGACATTTATGGTTGTCACATGAGAAGGGAGGGTACTGGCCTCTGATGGGTAGAGGCCAGAGTTGTGGTTAAATATACTACAGTGCACTCCCACACCCCTACAACAAAGAGTGACCTGGTCCAAATGTCCACAGAGCGTTCAGAGGGTCCCTCCCAGTGTCCAAGGATACTTTCTAATTTCTTGGGCTAGCTCAGGCTGGAAATAAAGCCTTCAGGAAAGGTATAGGCTGGAATCGAATCCGGTCTGAACTCCAGGAGGTGGAAGCTAGGGATGCAGGACAGGGTTACCTGGCAAAGAGTGTGCACCCACCAATGCCAGCACACTGACCACAAAGCAACCAATCAATTCCGCCTCCCAGTGAGCAAGCCTGATGGGCCCAGAAGCCACAAGGCTTTGGTTCCCTGTTGTGTTAGTGTGGGGAGAAGGACCAGACAGTTCTACATGCCTGGGTTTTTGTTCTTCTCCTACCCCTCTTAGTTGACTCAGGGAAAAGAGAGATTTATTCAATTTCTTTTCTTTTAATCAATAAGCCCTGGACACAGGCACTTAAAGACTGAAGGCCTAGCTACTCTACCCAGCGGGAAGCTCGGGGAGTGGAGCTCAACCTCGGCCTTGCAGTCCTCACTCCCACCTCACACAGCTCCTCTCCCAAAGGGTCGGAGTGGGGCCAGCGCCCACTCTCTCAACTCCTGGGCAGCAGATGGCACCTTCCCTAGGACACCTGCATCTCTGAGCTGCATGGTGACTCTGCCCATACTTTCCTCCCAGTTCCCCGAAGGGGAGACCAGGCCTCACTTGTGCTTTCGATGTAGTAGTGCGTGATGCCCTTCCAGTGCTCAATGAACGCCTCCAGAAGGTCAAGGGTGGGCTCCCACTGCAGAGAGAGCAGACACGTAAGCTGTGTGACCACCGGCTCCAACACCACCAACGGTCGCAGGAACTACGAGGTCAGTGCTAGGACCTGGAGGGAGGGAGGCACTGTGACCCTGGGTTCTCAAAAGGAACAGTAACACGTTATCTCCTGGACACATCCAAACTGTCACCGACAATCTCCTGGCACCTCTCCCCAGACCCTGCCCTGCTGGAAATGCTATACTCCTGCCACATGTCATGATTCCACAGTCCTTGTCTCAGAGGGGCTAAGGATGTTGGTGGGGAAACAGACACAGAAACAGAGTATTTCAGTACAACACGGTTATACTACAGATACACAGAGGAAAACAGGAGAGCACTCCCAAGACAACAGAAGCAAAATGACAGGGATGGAACATATGTGAAAGAAAGTTTTCGGGTCCCTCTGAATCTGAGAGTCTGTGAAAAGCTGTGTTCAAAGCCACAACAGGCTCAGTCCAGCCAGATGGGCAACATTAGCATAATATTAAGAAAGTGCCTTACTTATAATGTACGTGCAGCTCTTGCCCAAGGTCGCAGATTGTGCAGCCCAAACTCTCCCTTAGCTAGCTCTGCTCCCTTCCTCGCCTGCAGCTCCTTCTATTGGCCATGGGGAATTCTGACTCTGCTAGCCCTAAACCACTCCCTTTCCAGTGCTCTATCTCCACGGCCCGGCTAAAACTGTAATAACAATAACCACTTTCCCTGAAAACTTTTCCCAAAAAAGGGCATTTCTTCTCTTTCATTGCAGAGTGAATGTTTGCAGGAGAAAAATACATAATCAGGCAGTCCCTCTCCAAAGGTGTTCACTTCTACTCTAGATCTTAGCTCAGGCCACTCCTCTGCTCAGGAGGCCAGATCCTAACAGTCCCCAGTGAGGTCCTGCTGAGGGCCACCACCTCCACAAAGTCCTGAGTTCCTGGATGCAACACCCTCTAACCTCATGCTTTACTGCACCACAGAACTATGTATCTCTCTCTCTCTCTCTCTCTCTCTATATATATATATATATATTGTTAATCCTCACCGAGGATATTTTTCCATTGGTTTTTTTAGATAAAGTGGAAGCGAGGGAAGGAAAGAGAGAGAAAAACATCAATGTGAGAGAGATACATTGATTGGTTGGCTCCCACATGACCCCGACTGGGGTTAAGGATTGAACTTACAACCCAGGTACGTGCCCTTGACCAGGAACAGAACCTAAGCCAAACCCTCCAGGACCATATCTCCTCCTTTAATCTATTCTGGAAGTATTTTCCGAGTGCCTGCTACCTAAACAACACTGTGCTAGATGTCACAGGCAATACAGGATGTCTAATTTCCAGTGCCACAGAGAAGAGAATATAAAGCCACAGTGAATAACTCAGCCACAGGAAGCAGAGTGAGATGAGAACACAGGAGAGGTGGAACGTGACCTCTGGGAAAAGAGGAGTCACTTCCAACAGGCTGGAACAGAGAAGGCTGAGGTCACACAGGACCAAAACTTGAACTGGGTTAGATTTCAACAATCAGGGATGAAGAAAAGGCATTTCCTGCAGAAGGTACTCTGCACAGTGTATCTGGGGCAAGGATGGATTGATGAGGTTACGGAGCTTTGAATGCCAGGCCAAGAAGTCCGGATATATACAGTTGCAGGCAATGGGGAGCAGGTCAGTGACATCTTCTGAACAGTGTTTAAGGAAGAATCTGGCAGTTGTGTGTAGGAAACAAAGGCAATCAGAGTGCTCTGAAGACTCTAGGAGAGGTGGAGGGAGCAGTAACACTGAAGCTGAGGCCTTGATACACCCCCCCTGCCTTGGCTGCCCAATCTTTCCTTCTTTATCCTCACCCGAGGACATTTTTTTTTTTCCCTGCATTTATCTTCAGATAGAGCAGGAGAGGGCGGGGAGGGGCGGGAGAAACATCGATGTGAGAGACACATGGACTGGCTGCCATCTACACAACCCCAACCGGGGCCAGGGACAAACTCTAACCGAGGTACGTGCCCTTAGTGGGAACCGAACCTGGGACTCTTGGGTCAGCGGGCCGACACTCTGACCGCTGAGCCAAACCGGCCAGGGCATCTTGCCTTCTTTAAAATCAGTTGTGGGGACCACAGCCTTTTTTACCAGTGATATCTCCCACAGCCATTCCAAACATAGTGTGTATGACCACATCTTATCACATTCTATGTGATACTATTCTTGTTGGGTTAGCAGTCATCTTTTCTACTAGACTGTTAGCATCCTGGGGGTCAGGATTCTGTGTTTCAGAATCTGTCTGCCCCTAAAAGGGCACACATGTAGTAACTACTCATTAATATTTACAAAATAGCTCAGCAAGCTCCTTAAGACACTGTTCCATAGTTCCTTGTCTCTTGGAATGCCTTCTGACCCTTGACTAACACTACAATTATTTCAGAAGTCTCTGAAAACCTTGTACTGGCTTAAACAAAAACTAACTAACTAACTAAATAATAATAATCCAGTAAGAAAAACAGAAATAGGAGAATGCAGGTTAGCTAAAGTCAATTTAGAGAGAAGAAAACAGGGGGATACTCTTTACCTAAGACTATTGTCAGCTATGTTAATGCTATACCAAAGAAATAGTATCAGGTGATTTCTTTTTCTAGGTAAGACTGCTATTCTATTTTGTCAGATGAGGGCAGGAAAGAGCAGCATGCTTCCTCCTTAAAAGGAGCCAAACAACTTGCTGGGCCTTAACCTGATGATCCAGGCCCAGGGAAGACCTATGGGCAAGATGTAGGAGTGCAGGGGGAAAGAGGGGCTCCCATCTCTCCTGATGGTCACACAGGGCCCAACTCCTAGGGCATGGACTAGAGGCTGTACACTGATGAGACCTAAGAAGATCACCCGCCTCAAACTATCTCCCCTTGACCATCAATATTTCCTCCAGCTTCTGACACTGAAATCCTCATACAGGAGGCATGAGAAATTCACTTCTTAGGGCCAAGGTCTTGTCTGTCTGCCCCCTTGCATGGAGCTGTCCTTGAGAGGTGTGAAACAGTTGGTCGGATCACTTTCTAAGATGACAGCTGTTGTAACGGGACAGGGAGGAAGGGAAGGAGAGCTTAGATGGAATCAGGTGGGATCCCTGAGGCCCCTGGGCATCTGGGGAGGGCAAGGCTGGGGACAGGAGGGGGCCGAAGCTCTTCACCTTCTTGACAAGTTCCTTAAGGCTGAGGCTGTTCTCATTCACAATAAGCTCTGATATGAGGAGGAGGGCACTGTCCCGAGGAAAGGAGTGGAATCCAAGGTTGTTTCTCCTGAGAAAATCTGATACACTCAACCGATGAATTAGGAGAGGGTTTGTGCTGAGACAAAAGAACTGCTAACTTGACTGGCAGATTCTTGGCCAGGGTTGCTGCAGTACAGGCGTCTGCACCCATCTGAACTGCACTTATCTTACTGAATGAAGTGAATGTGGCGGCCACGCTGGGGCCTCCACCTCCAGGCGGAGGCGCAGAAACACAAACGCTGACGGAATGTAGGGGCCGGCAGGCTCCCCACCACGGCTGGCCTCCCGAGCAAGGCTCCGGTGACCTGGGACACACGCTGGCCGCTCCCCCTGCCCCCTGCCGGGCCTGCCGGGCGAGGGCGAGGGCGAGGGCGAGGGCGAGGGCGAGGGCACGCTGGGCCCAAACCAGGCCTGGGGGCTCCGAGGCCGGGAGGGGCGGCTACTCTTAAGCCCGGAGACCGGGAAGCGAGGAGCGTGCGGGAGGAGGGCCGGGGCCGGAGGAGGGGCCGGCATTCGGAGGCAACTGGCGGGTGACTCGGGAGCACTCGGCCCGGAGAGCTGGGAACCGGGGAGGCTGGAGCAGGACAAGCAGGAAGCAGCCTGGGAGCGGAGTCGGGGCAGAGCAGCCCGGGAGCGCGGCGCTCGGGAAGGCGGCCGGCCGCGGGGGGCGGGGAGGGCGCTGCGGCCGTGGGGGTCCCTCCCCGGGGCTGCCCGCCCGCCGCCCGCCGCCCGCCGCCCGCCGCCGGCTCCGCCCCGCCGCCGCCCCGCGCCCCGCTCACCGCGCCCACGGCCTCCTGCAGCAGCGCCCCGAGCCGGCTCAGCATGATGGCGCCCGGCCGCTCGCTCCCGCCCCGGCTCGGGCGGCGGCGCTCCGGCGCAGGGGCGGCCCGCGGCGCGGCGAGGGAGGCGGGGCCCGGCCCGCTCCGCCCCGGCCGGGCAGGGGGCGCCCTCCCGCCGGCCGGGCCGCGCGGGGCCGCGGTGGGAAGTCGGCCGGCCGGAGAGCGGGGAGGGCGCCGCGGCGGGCAGGTTCCCGTGCCGCGGGACAGCGACCCCTCCTCTTCGAAAAGCGTGCGGGCCGGGAGCGTGTCTCCCTGCGGAGTGGGCAGCTCCTGGGGCCCGCGCGTCCTAGTGAGCTGGGTGCGTGTGAAGTGCTACACCCGGGGCTGACCCTTAGTACGAGAATGTGAAACAGCCCACTAATGAGGGTCCAAATGGATTACATGTTGAGGTGGTAGCATATTAGATATATCGGGGTGATATTAAAATTAGTTTCACTTGTTAGGAATGGATAACAAAGCTGTGCTACACATACACAGTGGAGTACTATGCAGCTGTAAGAAAGATCTCTTATCCTTTGAGACGACATGGAGGGTGAAACAAGCCAAACAGAGAAAGACAAATACCACATGATTTCATTTATGGAATATAATGAACATAACAGTCTGAGGAATAGGGTAGACCCAGAAACAAACATGGAAGTAGGGTACAGACTGACAACCCTCAGAAGAGGGGGTGGTGGGGAGGTGGGGTGGGAAGAGATAAACCACAGAACTTACATGCATGTTTGCATAACCAATGGACATGGACAACAAAGCTGGGAGGGGGTCAGGGGGATGGGGAGGAGGGTGTCAATGGGGTAAAAAGGAGAAACATCTGTAACAAAAATAAAATTAAAAATAAAATTTAAAAAATAGTAATAAAATTAGTTTCACTTGTTTCTTGTTACTGTAAGAGGGTAGAGCTCTGGGCCAGAGGTCCTGCAGGAAGTAACAAGTGGCCCCATTTTGCCCTTTTAGCTGCTCCACAGGAAGAAACAGAAGGTGGATTTCCCGTGGGGACGTCACACCCAGAAAAATTATGCCCCAGAATTACCTAGGCAGAACCTTCAACAAGAGGCATGTCTGGAATGTCCAAAGCTAGGGTCTTAGGGATGCACCATCTAGCTGCCAACTCTGCCAGTGTAAAGCCCCCTCTCCCCCGCCCCCAGGAATGGAAAGAGATTCTTTCTGAGGACAGGATACGGTTGTCTGTTCAAAATATATTTCTGTTGACCACTGCCATCCTGTGATGAGAGGTTAAGGCATTGAGAGTCCCACTAAGGACCAGGATGGGGAGGTGAGAAGTGGGGGTAGCCCCTGTCACAGAACCATAGGACCTAGAGCTGTGGGGTTTGGGGGCTTCACTGCTTTTGGTCCCATTCCCCAGGGAGGCTGAGACCCAGGAGACAGTGACCTGCCCAGAGCTGGCTGTGTGCTGTGGAGTGCGGCCTGTGGTCCAGACCCAGGCATGGGGAGGGCCAGGGTTGGCCAAGCCCAGGCTGAGCTAGTATTTGGAGCTCAGTTCTCCTACAGCTGCTAGAGAAAATAATATTTTCTAACAGTCATCTGCAAACGGATCCCTGGTAAGGAGCCCTATGGGAAACAGAGGCTTTTAGGCCAAAATGTATACAAAGGGAAGAAACCAGCCTGTTTTGTGTATCCAGAAGCAACTTGGAAAGTTGGAGACCTCAGTCCAGTCAGCACTGTTCTTTTCTGGGCCCATTTTCTCTTGGGTAAAGGAAGCAGTTGGGTAGATTCAATCTGTTTTGTTCCCTCAACATGCTTCAAGTAACTCCGGTATAATGGAAGTGTACCAGGAATCCATAGCCTTTTATTTGGCTTAACATTTTTTTGGTTAATCCTAACCTGAGGATATCTTTCCACTGGTTTTTAGATAGAGTGGAAGGGGGAGAGGGGGAGAGAGAGAGAACTATCAATGTGAAAGAGACACATCGATTGGTTGCCTCCTGCACAACCCTGGTCCAGGGCCTGGGATGGAACCTGCAACCCAGGTACATGCCCTTGACCTAGCCAGGCTTCCTTTTTTCTGCCAAGGGCCATTTGAATATGTATAACATCATTCACAGACCATATAAAATTAACAACTTAGGAATTAACTTGCTTTATTTGCTCAGGCTAATTTGGTGAAATGTGTGATGTTAGCTGGTACTGATTTCGAGGGCCTTATACAGCCCTCAGGCCAGATGGGTCTAACTGCTGAGCCAAACCGGCCGGGGCTACTTGGCTTAACTTTTTAGATTTTATTTTTAAAGTGCTGATAAAAGTCAGTGGGCACCCTTATAGGTGTTATATGCCAAAAGTGTTAGAGTCACTGGTGTATTTACATTCTGCTGTCAGGTTAGCTCATTTGGGAGATCTTTGAAATAAAGCCTCTCCACCTGTCAACTTAAATGAAGGTAGAAGGCTACTGCAGGGTAAACAGTTTTTGTTTAGTTTTTTAATTCTCACCTGAGGATATTTTTCCATTTATCTTCAGATAGAGAAGGAGGGAGGGAGGGAGGGAGGGAGAGAGAGAGAGACATCAATTGGTTACCTCCCACAGGACCCCGACCAGAGCCAGGGGCTGAACCACAACCGAGGAACATGTCCTTGACAACCGAGGTACATGTGCTTGACCAGAATCGAACCCACAACACTTTGGTCTGTAGGCCGATGCTCTAACCACTGAGCCAAACCGGCCACGGCTGCAGGGTAAACAGTTTTAGTGAGCAAATCACTAAGCCCCAGATTCAAGGACAGGGGACATAGAGGTTGTTGCTCAACAGGAAGAATGTAAACGGACTGGCATGCATTTTTAAACCACAGTTTTGTAACTACTGACCTGTGTAAATCAGGATTTTCTCAATACTGTGCAACTGAATCCAGTAATAAATTAGACCCTCCACTTGACAAAAGGACAACTGTCGTATTTAATCCCTGACCTAAATTTTTATGTTCATCAAAGCTTACTTTTTATTCATCGTACCTTCTTTGTTTTTATTGATTTTCATAATAATTGACTATAAAATCCAATGTATAAATGTACTTAAAATAGTAGAAGATCTAAGTTTATTTAAAAAGGGTTGCTACTAAAAAGGTCTGGAAACCACTGGACTAAATAACTACCAAGGTTTTGCATCTATTTGTGTGTGTGTGTGTGTGTGTGTACTCGCGCGCGTATATGTGTGTGTACATGTATGTTTTGGGGAGGAGGCACTGAGAGACTCTCCCTAAGCTTTAGTTTTAGGGACAGAGCTGCACGAGTTGCTCTGAATCTCAGAACTTAAAATTCTTTAGGACATACCAGCCATTTAACCCCACCACAAGCATTTCCCAGGGAACTGTGATTAAAACTGCCTCAGCTGGCTTTGTTGCTTAACAGTCTGAAAGCTGGGTGCACTCAGTGCTGTATCCCTCGTGCTGAAACGAGTAAGCCCTCCACAAGTTCCCTGATGCCTCCTAGAGGTGCGTGTGGGGAAACCATTCCTCTCTCTGCACCGCCTAGTTGCCCTCTCTGTTGCCCCTTGAGGGGCAGCTGTCTATATTAGGAAAGTCCTGGGCTAGCAGTCAAGAAACTCAGATGTTTGTCTCCATTCTCTATCATTAGTTACATGTAGCTTCAGGCTTCAGTGAAATGTCTCTGTTTCACAATTTTCTCCTAAACTAAATGGATTAAAAGGATTTGTGCTGTTGTCCTCATAGGTTTGTTGAGAGGATAAAATGATGTCGATGTAACAGAACTCCAGCAATTTATTTTTATTTATTTATTAATCCTCACCCAAGGATATTTTTCCATTAATTTTTAGATAGAGTGGAAGAGGGTGAGGGAGAGAGAAAGAGAGAGAAAGAGAGAGAGAGAGAGAGAGAGAGAGAGAGAAACATTGATGTGAGAGAGACATCGATTGGTTGCCTCCTGCATGACCCTGACCAGGGTCGGGGATTGAACCTGTAACCCAGGTATGTGTCCTTGACTAGGAATCAAACCCAAGACCCTGTGGTCCTTGGGCTGATGCTCTAACCATTGAACCAAACCAGCCAGGGCCGGAACTCCAGCAATTTAAAATCATCATTCACATTTGAATGATTTTTACCCACTTTGCCTTTGTTCCAGCCCCAGGCTGGATTCAGGTCCCAGCTCCAGTCTTACGTTTACACTGGGGCCTCCTCCAACTCACCTCATCCTTCTGACTGAAGGTACATCTCTTCGCATGCCCACACCTGAGCTCTGTTCCAGCCAGGTGAGGTCGGCCCCTCATCCCCCAAATACCCACACCAAGGTCCTTCCTCTAACCTTCCAATCAAATCTTCATCCCTCCACCCACTTCGACAGCCAGCCCATGTCTATCCACCCTGGAATGCCTTGCCAAGTCAACCAAGACCAAATTACTGTACCCTTCTTTCTCGAACTCTACTTGACCCTACAGTTCTACTTGACCCTACACTGCTGCTACAGTTCCTCATCATGTCTCCATTCCTTAGTTTTTTTTTGCCTGATCCTTGATAGTCAACTCACGGCCTACTCATGCCTTGTTGACCTTTGCTGCGTGTATGGCCTCCCCACTGAACTCTCAGAGTCTGCAGCGCTGTCATGTCAGCTATCGAGGAGCTCGCCTGTGAAGGGGAGCATGTGGGCTTCAGTGGAGGCCGGAGCAGCCTTTCCTCCCAGCTGGCTCTTCTATCAGGCTCAGGAGTATGTTTCTGTCCCTTCTGCCATTCAGCATCACATAGCCCCTGAGGAGAAGTGGCAGATGGGAACCTGCTGGACCAGCCCCTGCTTCTGTGGCCCAGGATGGGGAAGGACCATGTGTGTGCCATTGTTCCACCTCCTCCAACCCTATGTGTCTCCTTTTGAACCTTCACTCCATGACTTCCCTGAGCCTGGCACCATCCATCCCTCTTACCCAGACGGGGAGGCTCATAAAGAACAAGTACATTTGGGGACCCAATGCAACCTTTTAATTCCAAGCAGAGTTCCCCTCCCCCAGCATCATCTCACACATACACACAGTGGAAAGGGATGCCAGGGTCTGGGCAGGAACAAAACCCAGACCTCGGCAAAAATATATATATATATAATTATATACACATATGTATTTGTAGAGAAGAAAAGCTGAGAATGTGATTAGGTAGGGCAGAGGATTGGGTAAAGAAAGCAGCTGGGGGTGCCCCAATAAATTACATTCTTCAGAGAGCATGATGGGGAATGCATGGGTATGGGTGGAACCTGGTAGCCTGGCTTCTTGACCCCATCTGAGGGAGCCTGAAGGCCTGGTTCTGCCAAGGATCTGGGTGTCAGAAGGTAGGATTCTAGCTCACTTTGCCTGGAGGCTGATGTGGGGCTGGGGTTCGGTATAGGCAACATCTCCACTCTAAGCCAAGGCTTCTCGGGAAGCCACAGGGCTGAGCATGAGGCTTCAAAGCGTAAGATTTTCAAGGAGAGAAGAGGGTAAGCTGGAGGCAGGGCAGCCTCCCTGCTGGAGGCTGAGCTCAACCTACCTACTGCTGGAGTCAGAGAGGCGGGAGGCCAGGTGCAGAGGAAGCTGTCTGAGATGAGGCATGGTGGAGTGCTGGGCAAACACGGGGTCCTGGAGCTGTCCCTGCATGCCTGCTGCTTCCCATCCTCACCTCCCCCTGCCAGGCTGAGGGTTCCACCCACCCACCCACTGTCAAGACAGTAACAGGCCTGACCACCAAGTGCCATGTTCATGTCTCCCCACTCCATTCTTCTGGCGATCTCTCTTCATGGGGTGGGGGCAGGGTGAGGGTGCAGACATTAACTCTGTGTGTGCTGGAGTCCAGCCTGGGTTTGCCCTGTGCAGTGAGGACCAAGGATGAGGGGAGGCCTCCAGCTCATTATGGAATCTCCATATCCCACAACCCAGCACTGAGAGGAGGAAAATGGAGCCAATTCCACCTCTGCCCACTTCCCTGCTCCCCCAAGAGATGATGCTTTAGGGTCTAGTGACCCAGCTCCCGAGAGCAGCAGGGGTGAGGGTCAGTCACGGAGAGTGGGAGTGTGGGGGCCGTCAGAAGAGAGAAGCCTTCTTCTTGAGTTCATTCCGCTTCCACAGAGCCAGCTTGCTAAACTCTTCGGGAGACATGGCAAATACCCTGGAGAAGTCCTCAGCTGACAGATGCCTCTGCGGGGACACACCAAGGCCACTTAGGGAAAGGAGGGTGGGGCTGGGCTGAGCACAAGAGAGGACTCAGACCAAGAGGCCACAGTCTTCCCACGAGGCAGGGGAGGCTGGTTCCAGGAGCCCTGCACCCACCCAGTGCGCTTTCCCTGCGTACCTCGAGCCTCATTCGGTCCACACCTGGAGGCAACTTGGTTCGCCCCTTATTGGTCACCACCAGCATTTCATAGGGGTAGATCTGGGGGGCGGGGGAGGGAGCAGTCTTAGGCTTATAGCGGTCCCTGTTGCTACAACCCCTCAACTCTCTAGGCCCCCTTATCAGCCTGCAGAGGCCATTGGGTTCATGCCAGGTTGCCATCCATCTCCCCCAGCTTCCCCCAGCAGCAATTCCAGGAGGACCCCTTAGCGCATTCACTTTCCTGCTTCTCCCCAAGCTAGCCCACCCCACTGTAGATGCTTCTGTCCCCTGCCCACCACCCCCTGGCTCTGCCACTGCCCCTCACCTTCTGCTCCAGCACACAGGGCAGGGAGTTCCCCCGGTCCATCCTCCCCCTCTGGCCCTCTCCGTTCTGGGGAGACCAAAGCCGCAGTGAGCCAGAGTGGAGCAGGGAGACCTCCCCAGCCTTACCCTGGGCTTCTCATGTGCTCACCAGGCAACCGTGTGGCCCAACAACCCCACCCCAGTACTGCCAGTTGCCTGTCCACAGCTTCTGGTGCTCCACGTGTTCCCCTCCAGAGGGCACTCACCTGCAGGCCTGCGGGAGAGAAGAGGCATTGTTCAGAGGCAGGAAGCCTCCAGACCTCCAGCCACACAGCCCGGCCCACATCAGAGACACAGCTGCCCTGAGGACCTGCTTAAGTCCCTTTCCCAGCTCGCCTGACCCTGCCTCTCACCTGGGCTTCCAGTCTCACTCCCGGACGGGCTGAAGTCTGTGGACTGTAGCTAGAAAGGACATAAAGGGATCAAAAGGAAGCTGGAGTATTCCTCATCAGTCATCCCTTTACGGATTTTCCCTCTTCCCCCAGCAGCTCAATCCCTCAGAGGACCCCATATACAGTCTGTGACCTCTTTCTGTGACCTTACCCGACTCAGGGTGGTCCTGCCGTAGGCTGGGAGAGAAGATGACTTAGATGTTCCAGCATGCAAAGCTAGAAGAGAGCGAGAGACCCATTCACTCCCTTCGGCCTGACAGTCATTTCTGAGGGTACTCCCTCTCTGGCCTCCCCCGCCAGGGGCAGGGCAGTGAAGAGCAGACTTGGGGGAACCTGGTGGGCCTCTGCTGGCTTCCAGCTCCTGCCCATTACCTTCAGTGAGTGACACTGTGCTGGTGCTTCTGAACTACCCCTAATGCCTCCCCCTCTCTCTAACTGAAGGGCACTCACTTGGGCTAAATGCCTGAGTGTTAAAATCCACAGTTAGCCAGTGATAGATGATGAAGTTCACCATTGTAAAATGAACCTCTGGGATATAAAAATCTGACATCTCATGAAAATAATCAAATTATTGCAAATTTATTATTAGCAAATTTAGTAACCAAATTTTAAGCATTTGACATTAAAATACAGAAACAATCATTTTCTCAGCACTGTCAGCTGCTGGATTGCATCCACAGTCAATACACATCATATCTGCGTGACCAGATGTTACCTCAACTTGCAGTTTTCAAGCACTGCAAATTATAATCCAAGAAAACTGTTTTTCAGTAATAGGTTTTCTTAGAAAAACTGTTTGGGCAGACCTCAAAACTCCTTCATCTCCGATTACTAGAAGTTATTGGCATTCTATAGCAATAGTTTTGACCAGACTTTTTGTTTAAATGTTTAGCCTTGACAGACTCAAAACTATAAGGAACTGTCTTCTTAAGACATTCTTGTAAAACCTGTTACTTGCAAGTTTAATTAGTGAGAACAAAATGTGTTTTGGGGACTTGGCTTGTTTTGTTGTTGTTTGCCTTTTCCTTAACACTTAATTTTTAAGCTACTTAATACTTATTTTTTTGTTTGTTTGTTTGTTTTTTTATCCTCACCCGAGGACATTTTTTCTATTTTTTGTTCAGATAGAGTGGGAGGGAGAGACAGGAAGAGAGAGAGAGAGAAACATCGACGTGAAAGGGACACATCGAGTGGCTGCCACCCGCACGACCAACCAGGGCCAGGGACAAACCGCAACTGAGGTATGTCCCCTTAGCAGGAACTGAACCCGGGTCTCTCTGGACCGCAGGCGTCTGACGCTCTAACTGCTGAGCCAAACTGGCCAGGGCTATTTTTGAGTAGAAAATTATCTGCTTTCACAATCATCATTCATTATTTATGTTTGAAAGTGACTGCTCAATGTTACCATTAAGTCAGAATGACATGCCTATTCGTAATTCTGAAATTGTTAAGATTGATTAGCTATGACTGAAACCCACGCAATCCTATGATCTTTCCTTACATACAGGTTCAGGGGTGCCAAAATGATGATGATGGAGACATTTGGCTGTTCAACTTTGCAAGGCCAAATGGAAGTTAAAGAGCTAATTTTGACCGAAGGCGAATTTTAGTGGAACACAGGGACCGAATCCAACCTTTAGAGCATCTCTTGGTCTCATTCTTCAGGCCTTAACTATTTATTCCACATTCTCTAAAAAGGCCTCTTGTAACTCTTCCCACCAATTCTGAAATATCATCCTGGTCTTTTGGTGACCCTGTGGATATCCTAGCCACAGACCTTCCTTAACGCCCCCACCCCAGGGCCTTCACCTCCACGGCACAGCAGGCCACCACTTCAACGGTCACCCTCTGGCCCTTGCCATCCACAGCTGCTTCACCTTGACATGTGAAGCTCGGGTGTCCCCCTCTGTGGCCATAGCACCCTTCTTTGTTTACCCTCATTCCCAGCACATCTGCTTGTTAATCTCATGGGACCTCCGGTGTCCTGATCCCCCACACTCCCTGTCCTTCAACCTGTGGTTGGGTATAAACTGCTTTCACCAGCACTCAACAACTCTCCTGGCCCCTCATCCCGTAGCACCTGCCTCAAAAAACTCTGCCTGGATCAGCTCATGGAGGCTGTGGAGATGAAGCCCATACAATGTAGATCATCATTACAGAAGCAGCTCCCTTCCCTGTGGTAGCTATTCCAAACTTTCCAAATCTCAGCAAGCCTCGTCCTTTTTTCGCTCAGCAGACAACCTCCACTTCTAATGTGGCCTGCTCCCAGGTCAAGTCCCCAGCCCTCACAGAGAGAGGCCCCAAGGCCAACCCACATCCTGAGGCTGGGTCCCTCCTGGACCTCTCCCGAACCAACCCTCCAACCCTTCATGGGGTCGTTTGTGTTGTTGTTGTTAATCCTCACCCGAGGATATTTTGCCATTGAAAAATTTTTTAAGACAGAGTAGAAGGGAGGGAGAGAGAAAAGAGAGAGAGAGAGAGAGAGAGAGAGAGAGAGAGAGAGAGAAAGAGAGATAGAGAGAGAGAGAGACAAAGAGAGAGATAGACAGACAGAGAGAGAGACAGACAGACAGACAGACATCAATGTGAGAGAGACACATCAACTGGTTGCTTCCTGCACGACCTGGACTAGGGTGGGGGATCGAACCTGCAACCGAGGTACATGCCCTTGAGCAGGATTTGAACCTGTGACCCTTTGGTCCATGGGCTGATGCTCTAACTGCTGAGCCAAACTGGCCAGGGCCTTCAGTTGGATCTGAACATGTGTGCTCTCCAGGGTACAGCCTGGGCACCCATCCCTTGCCCTCTCTCCTCTCTCTGCACAGTCCCATTTTTCTCGTGGCCTTACTACCATAAGCTGAAGACTATCTGAGGCCTTATTTGCTCCTCAAGCTCCCAACTCAGTCAAACTCGCACTTCAAACCCAACACGTCCCAAACCAGTTTCTTCATCTTTCCGCCCAAATATAACTCGTTTATGATCTCAGTTCTAGGTTTTTCATCATCCAGCACCCAAGACAAAAACCCCAACTCGCCTCCCCTCAGCTTCCCCACCCAATCAGCCACTGAGTCCAGTTGATTCCATCTCAATATTTCTCAAACCCATCCCCACTCCTCCAGACCTGTGTATACTGTAGCCCTTTCCCAGCCCGGTGGAAAGTGTGGTAGAGTGTTTCCAAAGATGGCCTGCAACACCACCTCCCGGTGCCTTTGTGTGGTCCTGTCATCAGGAAACGGACTCTCCCTTTCCTGAGTCTGGGCTGCTCTGGCCCTCAGAATGCAGTGAGGCTGTGGCTTCCGAGGCCGGACTCTCACAGGCCTGGGACTCCCAGCTCTGCGTTCTCAGATGTCCCCTTCTCTCCGCCTGCCACGCTCTAAGAAGTCCAGGCCAGACTCTGCTGATTCAAGGCATGGTATCCAAAGTGCTGGCTACACCGTCTCTCTGGTTTCAGTCCCGCCACTGCCCTCTGGGGTCTGTGATTCCAGGCTCCCGGAGGCCTTCTCCACTGGCCAGGAGATTTCCTATTCCTGGCCTTTGCCCCCACGGTCCCCAGTGTCTGCGATGGCCTTCTTCTCTACTCGCTTTGTCTCATTCTTCCAGACGCAGTGAGCATCCCCCGACCCTCTGACCCAGGCCCTGTCACTGGATGCACTGTGCACATCTCATCACGTGCCTGCTACACTGCAGCCAGACCGTGTCCATGTCAGTTTCCCAACGACTGGAAGCTACTGAAGGACAGGACTATGTTTCTTTCACTCTTCATAATCCCCAGTGCCTAACACACAATAGCCACTCAATACGTGTTCATTGAATTAAACAAAATTAGTTAATTCTGCTTTAGCTGATACTATTACTTATCATCTAGTCTTGTTCCATGACTGGAATTCTTGCCCTAAGAACAGTGTGAGCGTCTTGAGCCAGGGACTGAATTTTCTGTCTCTTATATTCGCTGGAGCACAGTGCTGGGTGTATGACAGACAAACTCAATAGACTATTCAATTCTGTCCCCAGGGTCTGGCCAGGCAATTCGAGCCCCCTTGGTGGCACTCACAAGTATGGAAGGGTGTTCGGTCAGGCAGGGAGCGGGTTTTCCTCCGGATAGGCAATGACTTTTCCATCTCTTCTTTCAAGATCATCTTTCCCAAGTTGGAAGTAACCTGGGAGGGACAAAGGGAGATGGATCCAAGACATTGATGCTTGTTTCTCATCTTCAAAAGGTTCAGAGTTGGGCATGTTGCAGGCAGGAGTGGGGACAGATTTCTCCAGTGGATAGGCTGTGCCAAGAACCCGTGGGGCCTGTCATTCTGCCACATTGGGTTTGGCCACCCTCAACAGCAAGGAGTCAGAGCTGCTCAGTCTAATTCTACCCCAGTGGCCTCCTACCCCAGGTCACGGTGCCCAGAGCACAAGCCCATGTCACCATCGGTGACCTTTGCATGACTCTCAACACCTTCTCTTATCCTCTGGAGACCAGCAGCCTGCTCTCCCCTCCCCCCTCTTCCCAAGAACTGCTCAGCCTGCTGACGCCTGGCACTTTTGGGACCACCCTTTCTGTGCTTCTGACCCTAATATTAACTAGTGTTTTCCCAAAAGCAGCATGAAGTCCTGATGTCCCTTCCAAAGCAGCAACTAAAATCCCGGGAAAGAAGGGAAACTCCTCACATGCTCTGACCATGATGCTCTTCAGGCATGAACCCATTCAGAACAGAACAGCTATGGAACCAGAACTTTTGTTGCCAAGAAGACACAGGGAGGGTGGTAGGAAATGCTACCTTTCTGAGTTCCTCTCTCTGACGCTCTCTGAGAGCCTTCATTTCCTCCCCGGAGTCATCATCTTCCTCCTCCTCCTCCTCCTCTGCCCCTCTCCGAGATGCTTTCCGCTTCCTCCATTCTGTTTCTGGGAAACAAAGGCAAAAGCAAGCCCATCAACCAACCATTTGCTCAGCAGGATTTATCAGGTGCTGGTTGTGTACATCACACTGGGCTGCGCCTTAAACCGAGCACTACAAATTATTATTTTTATTCTTTATTTTTGGTTAATCCTCACTCGAGGTATTTTTCCATTGATTTTTTAGATGGAGAGGAAGGGAGGGAGGGAGAGAAAGAGAGAGAAACATTGATGTGAGAGAGACACATAGATTGGTTGCCTCCTGCATAACCCCGACCAGGGCCAGAGATTGAACCTGCAACCCAGGTACGTGCCCTTGACTGGGAATCAAACCCATGACCCTTTGGTCCATGGACCGACACACTAACTACTGAGCCAAACTGGCCAGGGCTATTTTTTTTTTAATCCTCACCCAAGGACATGTTTCCATTTTTTGTTCAGATAGAGTGGGAGGGAGAGAGAGGAAGAGAGAGAGAGAAAAAACAAACAAACATCGACGTGAAAGGGACTTATTGAGTGGTTGCCAACTGCACAACCCAACCAGGGCCAGGGACAAACCGCAACCAAGGTACTTGCCCTTAGCGGGAACCAAACCCGGGTCTCTCTGGACGGCAGGCTGACGCTCTAACCACTGAGCCAAACTGGCCAGGGTGCCAGGGCTATTTTTATTTTATTATTATTATTATTTTTTTAATCCTCACCCGAGGACATTTTTCCATTTTTTGCTCAGGTAGAGTGGGAGGGAGAGAGAGGAAGAGAGAGAGAGAGAAACATCGACATGAAAGGGACACATCAAGTGGCTGCCACCCGCACGACCAACCAGGGCTGGGGACAAACTGCAACCAAGGTACGTGCCCTTAGCGGGAACCGAACTCGGGTCTCTCTGGACCGCAGGCTGACGCTCTAACCGCTGAACCAAACTGGCCAGGGTGCCAGGGCTATTTTTTAAAAATAAAATAAAAGTAACAACACACTGGGCCCTGGCCGGTTTGGCTCAGCGGTTAGAGCGTCGGCCTGCGGTCCAGAGAGACCCGGGTTTGGTTCCCGCTAAGGGCATGTACCTCGGTTGCAGTTTGTCCCCGGCCCTGGTGGGTTGTGCGGGTGGCAGCCACTCGATGTGTTCCTTTCACATCGATGTTTCTCTCTCTCTCTCTCTGTTCCTCTCTCTCCCTCCCACTCTACCTGAACAAAAAATGGAAAAAATGTCCTCCGGTGAGGATTAAAAAAAAAAAAAAAAAAAAAAAAAAGTAACAACACACTGGGTAGGCAACACACATTCAAATAACTAAATTCATTGAGGACTGAGACCTTGTCTCATTTCTTTCTCTTTCCCAGAGGCCCTACCACAGAGCCTAGATGCAGTAAAAGTGTGACGAATATCTGTTGGGTAGTAAGAGAAATGAATGGAAAGTGATGAAACTAACAAACCAAAAGCTGTAGGAGTGGGTGAGCACAGAGCCTGCAGGGTTCACCAGAGGACCAGAGTGGGCTGAGGGTGAGGACAGGCTCATGAGGCATCAACAGGGGGCTATGAGGCAGTGTCCTGGCTTCCCTGTCCCCTCTCCAACAATTTCTCTTACCCACAACAGCCAGTGACGGGGGGCATGGCCAGTAGTCAGTTTCAATCTTGGCTGGCTGGTTGGGGTCAGGGGGCTGGGCCGCAGGGAACTTAGATGACTCAATGATGAGGTCCTCAATCTGGTGCTTGCTCTGAGGGCTGCTTCCCAAGGACTCTGCAGGTGGAGGTCAAAGTCAGCCTCCTACACTCCCAACCCTTCACCTCTCCCCACTTTACACCTGTGAGATCGTGGGTGTCAAAACAACGCACAAAGAAGAGCACAGGGCACGGTTCTGTGGATAGTTGTTCTCCTGTTCCCTCCCAGCCCTTGGCACAGCCTCCCAGCACACAGATCAGGTCAGTGGGAAACCTCACCTCTCTGCTTGTAGATGGGCGGCTTCTTATAGATGTTGGAATCTGGGCGGGTGGTCTCTGTAGGGAGCAAGAGCGGATGAGAAGGAGGATGTGTTAATGGAGGGGAAGGCTGGGTCAGTTATGAGAATGGAGACAAGTGGAAAGGGAGAAGGTAGGAAATTCAGGGGCTTCTGTCAAGAGCCAAGACAAAACCAGAGTTTCTGGAATTATCCCCTAGGGGGTTGAGACTTTTTGCACTTTTCTGGTTGGGTGGGAGGGAAGATGAGACAGGGTCCACACTCTTTGGGAGCTCTGCCTGGGGTCTTGGCATCAGGGTCCTGGCTAGGTCTGTGGGGAGCATATACTTCAGACAGTGGGGGACTGAGAGCAAGGGGCTTGGATTCCTGAAGGAATGAAAAGATCCTGGGACAAGGAGGCAACTAGGCCGACAGAAACACTTACCAGGATGGTGGAAATGGGGCAGGCTGGTTCGGGGGGTCCCAGTGGTTCTTGGGGCTGAAGCTTGAGAAATCGTTCCAGGGGATCGGCTCTCTACCCACACCTGCAGAGCAGAAGTGAGGTTCACTACAGCTCCCAGGTCCCCTACCCCACACCCTCCAATCTATGAGACGCAGCTTCACCTTATTCCACCATCTCTGTCTTCCCACCCTAACAGCCCCCGAGCTAGACAGACAGATGGACAGAGCTGGCTGGTGACAGGATGAGGGCCAATGATTCTGTCATCCCTTGGGCTCTGCAGAGCCCTGTCTTGATGCCTGTGGGGGAGGGGAGTTGGGCCTGTCAGAGCAGGGCTGGGTGACACTCACCTCTGGGGATGGTGGGGGGGATGTGGATTTGGGTGACAGTGAGCGCTGCGAAGGAGAGGAGCTGGTCAGAGCCACAGGATAGGATTAAGCCCTCATCCCTAGAGCCCCAGAAGGGCCACTTCATCCCCCACCCAACTCCTGGCCCCTGCCTGGCCAACGTCTGGGCCATCTCTTCTCTATCAACCCTCCCAGTTTCCAGCACTGGCTCTCCGTCATTCACCCTCCTAGCACTTTCCTGGGCAAAATCCTAAGTCTGTCCCTAGGATGCACCAGGAAGCCACAGATCCTGGAGCAGTGTGCCTGTGCTCTGAGGGCCAACTGAGGATGGCTGTGGCACTGTCCACGGGGCCAGACCCACAGCATTGAGGATGGAGTCCGGGCTCCTGGCCAAGTATTTGAGTCTCCCTCCATCTTGGCCCATCTCACTGCTCAGCCATGACACTACCCCTTTCTCAAATACCATTTACAAAGTGCCCAGTATGCGTGCTTTATCTCATGTACTTGACTGCCTGGTGGGATGCATGGGCATAGGTATCACTTCTATTTTACAGGAGGGGAAACAGAGACCACACTGTCACACAGGTCACTCAGCTAGGACTTTCAGCCTCTGGGCACTTACCACAAATCTGCTATCTTTCTGCCCACTCCCACTCTCCTCCTATCTGACCCCGTGGTGTCGCTGCCATTTAAACAGCCTCCCTTGCTCTTTCATGGAGACCTCCAGCCCATCTCTGCCTGCTCCCCACAAACACTCAGTTGTCACTGGTGATTCCTGTGCACAGTTCCCTTTCTTGTTTTGGAGTCTGGTCTCCAGGAGAGTATAACAGGAATTCTGCTACCCACCTAGGGTGGCCTGGGGAGACCTTCCCCCAAGTCCTGTCCAGAAGGTACCTTCCCCCACTCACCTCCCGGCTTCTGGGCAGCTCTACGTGTTCCAGGAGAGAATAGGTAAAGTGAGGCTCGTAGATCATGAGGTCAGGCCGCTCAATGTCCAGGATGGCCTTGTCCTTGGGGATGGCAGCTAAGTCCTTGTAGCCCAGCACCTGGTTATCCATCTTGGCCTGAAGGGAAATGGTGCCAATGGAACAGACATGCTCAAAGGCTCAACTGGAATCCTGGCATTACAAGCCAGACTTGCAATTTATTAAGAAGAAAATGGACAGCCTTTTTAGATGTCAGCTCCTATAAGTTAATAATTCCATTATTCAATTTTAAAGGTTTAGAGAGTGGCCTTGAAAAAAGCCATAGTCCACCTAGCCCTCTGGGTACAAGACAGGACCAGACCAGGAGAAGGATGATGGGGGAAAGTTTTCTGGATTTTGAGGTTCTCTCTGCCCACCAGCCCTGGCAGAAACACCATCAGGGAGGTTGAGTGAAGCTGCTCAGGGTGGAGTGTGTCCCTGCCCTTCCCTCTTCCCAGCCTGAGAGTGCTGGTGGCCCAGAGGTACTCACCACAATGCTTGAGGGAGAGCCGGGAACACTGGAGCCTCGGGAGGAGCTGACGCTCCCGGGGGAGGTAAGAGGTTGCTGGGGAGAGTGAGAAGGCGGGCGTGGGAATGTGCGTGCGTGCGGGCGAGGGCCACAGGCAGGGAGCTACAAAGGCGCACGACCGGCCCCAGGAGAGTGGGCCAGGGCAGAGTGGCTTCCCAGGTGCGGCGCTGCGGGCAACCACCAGGTGGCACCATCGACCCCGACTTGACCCTGGGCTGGAAGCCTGGCCACACCCACCCCAGCCCCAGGCTCTCACTGCCCAGGTCTGGGTGCGGCCCCACATACCTTCTGCAGCCGTTCCATGCAGCAGGGAGATGGCTGGTCGGGTCACTCGCAGATGCCTGTGCGCGAGGGGAGACGACAAGGCATCAAGCTCGGCCAGGCTCCTGGGTGCTGTGCACTTGGGGCCCCGAGGGCAGAAAGGGCGTCCCACTGGATAGTAACGTCCTCATCCCTCGGTGACTCTCCAGGCTGCTGGCCTAGTGCAGGGCCTGGAAGGGGAGGGAGAACGTGCCAGCCAGGCTGTCGGGCTGGGATTTCAGCAGGCTGGGGCTGGGGCTGGGGCTGGGGCTGGGGCTGGGCAGGCCCTTGAATTGGGCCTGGGCTCTGGAGAGCAGGGCGGAAGGGCGCCTGGCCCTGGCTTTCCATTCGCTCAGCCTGGGGAAGCCAGCGCGCCTGTGGACCAGGAGGCGGGAAAGTGGAAGGCTGCACTTGTTTTTGAGCCATTGTTCTCTGGCTAGAAAGGAAATGACGGCAGGGGTCAGCCATCCTGGTGCAGCCCTACATCCTTGCTTGGTCACAACTGCCCTGCCCTGAGGCTGCAGGCCAGCAGGCCAGTTTCAGGGCCAGGTTCTCACTCCTCTCCGTCTGGGCCATGCCTCTTTCCCTGGCTCAGTGCTGGTCCCTCATCTCATTCCTTCTCCATCTAGGTGGTACACTGTGCCACCTAGCTGTCATTCCCCAGGAAGACTGAACACAGAGGGTCTTGGTAATGCCTATGCAGTGGACACACAGGGGGAGAGGACAGGGTACAAAGCTGACTCTGGGTAAAGTGGTCAGGTCATTGGCTGGGGGCTGCCCCTCTGACCCAGGTTCTGCCCCTGGTTCCAAACCCTATGAAGAAGGGAGAGGAGGGTGGATGGAGCCCACATCCCTGTTTGACTGTCTCTGTACAGCAGTCAAACTCATTTGCAGACTAAAGCACACTTTGGGGCCAAGGCCCCATCCCAGCTGCCCACAGCCTTCTCAGATGCCTGTGCTGAGGCTGCCCTCTGAGGCTGCCATCCCGGTTGGCACTGCTCTCCCTTTGTTCCTAGGGACTTAGGTCCTGTCTGCTGCAGTAGATCATGAGTTCCCTGCAGCCACAGACTGTCTTCTCCTTCCTCAGTGACTCCCTTAGCACCACCCCCATCCGCTCCCTCCAAACACACACACCGGTACTGGACCTGCAATAGCCATTCAGTGAATGCCTGGCTGAGTTTCCAGTGTGATGGTGGCAGTGGGACTGTCTTTCCATCTGCTGGCAATAAGCCATAAAGTGAAGAGCCCAGTCGGTATGGCTCAGTGGTTGAGTGTCCTGCCATACAGCAAGAAGTCACTGGTTCGATTCCCGGTCAGGGCACATGGCTTGGTTATGGGCTCCATCCCCAGTAGAAGGTGTACAGGGGGCAGCCGATTGATGGTTCTCTCTCATATTGATGTTTCTATCTCTTTCTCCTTCACCCTTCCTCTCTGTCTGAAAATCCATAAAAATATATTTTAAAAAAATAAGCCATAGAGGGAAGGGAACTGATGGCTACAGAGCTTCAGGGAAGAGGCAGCATAATGTAGTGGTTAAGAGCATGGACTCTGGCCTGGCTGGCATGGCTTGGCGGTTGAGCGTCGACCCATGCATCAAGAGGTCGCTGGTTCGATTCCCAGTCAGGGCACATGCCCGGGTTGTGGGCCCGATCCACAGTGGGGGGCATGCAGGAGGCAGCCAATTGATATTCTCTTTCATTGATGTTTCTATCTCTCTGTCTCCCTTCCTCTCTCTCTAAAATCAATAAAGAAAACAAAAAAAAATTTTTTTAAAGAGCATGGACTCTGGACCCTAGGGAGCCTACAGGTGAGTACAACATTCTACTACTCAGAAGCTGTGTGACCTTGGGCAAGTTACTTACCCTCTCTGTGCCATATGTTTCTCATCTGTAAAATGGAGGACAGTGTCATAAGGTTGCTCTGAGTATCAGATAAATTATAATGTGTGAAATGCTCAAAACATTATAAATTCTATGTAGAGTGTTAGCTATTATTATTTCTATCTCCACAAGGACTAATTAACTTAGATGGTTTTTCTGTAGCTATTCTTTGTGACAGAGGGTCATGAAAGACTGAGGTCATTGATGCTCCCAATCTTATCACCTGTTACTTTGTATCAGGTCATTCTTCTACTCACTGTCTCTCTGCCACTAAAACCACCTGCTCGCTGCACAAGCAGCCCTCACTCCCACTTTCCTGCTTTTGTGCATGCACTTTCACTGTTCCCCACCCACCTCTGTCCTCCAGATCCCAGCCATCCTTCAAGGTCAGTCCTAAATCCTCCTTCCTTACTCTTCTCGTCCTCACCTGTCTCTGAATTCCAGGGGGCTTGAAAAGAGAACCGTATAACTTAGTCTTTGATTATATGTTGCCTGACATAGGAATTTTTTTTTTTTTTCTAACTAGAACGGCTGCTAATTTCTGGAGGGCAAAACAATAATAATAGCTATCATGTTTTGCATGCTCATGGTAGGTATTTTGATAAGTACTTTACAAAGATGATTTTGTTTCATCCCCACAACAAACCTATAAGGTAGACCCATTTGGCACAAGAGGAAACTGAGGCTCAGAGAGGTTAAAAACGTGTCCAGAGTTGTGGAGCTGAAATGACTGTATCTTAGGTAACGGCATGACTCAGAGTGACTACCTAGTACTGTGTCAGGTGTGTTGTGAGTATAGACTGGTATCGGCCACATTTCTCAAGTCTTTTGGGATTCTAGAACCAAGGCTTCTCCAAGACAGACTCTGGCCATCAGAGTCACACTAGGTAAATGGTGCCCATGGAAAGACTCCATGTCACAGCTTCATCCTTTTTCTGTCTTCTTAGCACTCACTTTGTAATGCTTTTAACTAGGTGTTAAAAGAGCATAAACTCTAATACATATTCAAGGAAATGTTAGCTCCCTCTCACTCCTCTCTAATCTTTACTTTGTTAACAGCCATTGTCAAACTAGCTATACACTTGGTTTAGCCCTAGAGGCATACACTTATTCATCCATCAGTCCATCCATCCACCCAACTACCCATCCACCCACCCACTTATCCATTCATCCGCCCATCTATCCATCCATCCATCCATCCATATACCCAGCCATCTATCCATCCATCCACCTATATGTCCATCCATCTACCCATCCATCCATTCACCCAATCCTCTCTCAGCACCTATTCTTCAATGACCACAGAACAACACTCTGTATAAGTCTTCTGGAGAACATAAAGATGAGCCAAAGAAGCTAGCTGCCCCTCCAGAAGTGAGGCATGTATATAGTTAAGTCTGATGCAAAGTAGAAAATTCCATATGCCAGAGAAGATAGTGTAAGGGGCTGTGAGAAGTCACAGGAGAGAGGATCACTCCTGCTGGGGTGTCAAGAGGGGAAAATAAAAATGGTTTCTTACAGGAGGAGGTAAGTGAGGTGGGCCTTGAAGGATGCTCAGTTTGAAATCATGCAAAAATTGAAAACGGGATCCTTGAAAGAGAAAGCAGCATGAGTGAAAGTGGGGACTTGGGGAAGCACTGGATCTGTCTGCAGAACAGCATGCATGGTTGACAGTAGCACTCATGAGGTGGAGGTATGTTTGGGGCAGGGGGTTGAGGGCCTTGAACCTAGACGAGGGGTTTTAGATAGTATTCTGAGGGCAACAGGGGCCATGGATGCTCAGAAATGTGTTTTAAACAAAGAAGTGGCAGATCCGAGCAGTGCTTTGGGAAAATGAATCTGGCTGCATCCTGGGAGATGGACTAGACAGAAAGGCCGTCCAGGGAGACACGAGCCAGGAAGCTATGGCAGCAGTTCAGGCGGGGGGCTATGGGGGTCTGGACTTGGGCATGGGGCTGATGATAGAAAGAACAAATGGGAGATATCCTAGAGGCAGAATGTGGAAAACAGGACTTGGTCTGGAGAGCCCTAGGAGAGAGGCAGTTTGCAAGCCTGAGAGACAGGAGAAGGGGAGCAATGAGTTCTCTCTTGTGGGTTGAGGCTGAGGTGGGTGCTACAGGTGAACACATGGGAATGTCCCGGGAGAACAAGAGGTTGAGGGAGGAGCAGGCTAGAAATAGAAGTTTGGGAGCCATTTGAGCTAGAGGTCCTGGTCTGCACATGAGGTTGCCAGGGAGAAAGAAGGTCAAAAACAGTCTGCTGGGAAACACCCAGGGGACTAGAAGAAAGAGCCAGAGACAGCCTGAAAGGGAGGAGGACAATTAGATGGCCAGCTCCTTGAAGGGCAGGGAGTGTGTCTAGTGATGTTGTTGTGTTTTTTTTCAGCAAAGGGCCTGATACACAGTAAGCATACCCAGAATATTGAGAGAAAGGATGGAAATGGGGGAGGGGAAGAGGGGCTGAGAAAAAATATCAGGCCTGACTGGTATGGCTCGGTGGTTGAGCATCGACCCATGCATGAAGAGGTTCATTCCTGGTCAGGGCTCATGCCTGGGTTGTGGGCCTGATCCCCAGTACGGGGCATGCAGGAGGCAGCCAACTGATGTTCTCTCATCGATGTTTCAATTTCTCCCTCTCCCTTCCTCTCTCTCTCTCTAATATCAATAAAGAAAACAAAAAACAAAAAACAAAAACAAATGTCAGACTTCCAGTCAAGGTGGCGGCATAGGTAAACGCAGTATCACGTCCTCCCACAACCACATCAAAGTTACAACTAAACTACAGAACAACCATCATTCAAAGCCACCTGAAATTGCACTGAATGGAAGTCCTACAACTACGGAATTAAAGAAGCAGCCACATCAAGACTGGTAGGAAGGGCGGAGGCAGATGGGCTGGTCCCCACATGTGGCGGATAAAAATCAGGAGGCTACCTCAGCTGGGAAGGTCCCCATCCCATACCAGGTGCCCCACTCAGGGTTCCAGTGCCAGGAAGAGAAGTCCCCATAACTTCTGGCTGGAAAAACCAGCGGGAACTGAGGCTCAGGGAGGCTGAGGCAGCTGGAGCCCCAGGCAGCTCCTCTTAAAGGGCCCGCACACAGACTTATTGGACTCACTCCCTCTAAGCTTGGAGGGGATGCAGTTTGAGGGGTGCCAGAGACATACAGGGAAGAACTGAGCTGTTTGGCATTGGAGCAAGGGCTGGAGAGGGGGCTTTCTCCTGGAGAGATATGCTATCAGAGGCCTTTGTTCCTTTGGTGAGCTCTTCCCTGGGGCGGCAGACAGCCACCATATCTGGGACTCCAGCAACC